ATTCAAATTTTCCTTACAACGGGATAGGATTATGTCCATCTTTAACAATTTGGGGGAAAGAGGAATCATTCATATTAATTATTGGGATATAGTTGCCTGTCTTTGCAAATGTTATGATGTGATTCTATTAAGTTTATTTGTAACTAAACTTTTATATACGATTGAAAAAAAATTGTAGGTGGTCATAACCTTAAAGCCGTGGTGGAGCTAAATAGTAAGCACCCGCTGTAAATTTTACAGCAATTTAGGTTCGTATGCGACGCCAATGGAATTACAATCATTGCAATTTTAAGTGCTGATTTACATATGCTCAGCGGTTTCGGAAGACGTAGTAAGGAAACCTGCATCAGAAAAATAAGAAAGCGGTCTAGGTGCGACCCGAAGGGTCCAAACAACTAGCTTCCCAGTGGAAAGAATAAAAAATATCATATGTTTTAATATTTTATACAGTTTTTCATTCGGCACAAGTCGTTTAGACTCGACCGAATTTTCTCAAAATTTAATGAGGTCTAAGTTACATACGCAAGTTAAGTTGCATATGATTATGCGTTAAATGAGACATCCCATGTCAATATCACTCTTTGTTCTTGAGATACACGAGGCGAAAATTGAATCCGAACATACGTACATACATACATACGTACATGTGCACACACGGACCTCCTCTTAAAATCATACTATTCGACTCTAAAGACCTTGAAAGGTGGAGATATGTTAAAATTTCCAATTTGCAAAATCGGACCCATTATAATAATTTCCCACTGGGAAGTTAAAAATTACACTTCTAGAGTACTACTATCAGGTCGTAGGTCTGATTTTCTACTTAGTAGTTCAGCTAGGTAGGAACAGTTCTTTTATCATTTTTTTAGCTGCCAAATATCAGTGCTGTGTGTTTTTTTTATAAAATTGAAGTGAGTGAGCTCTTCAGTCCATTGTGGGAAGTCAGAATGTGTCAAAGAAGGCACGTATGGCAATTCACAATGCTGTGTTACTCTTTACCTTTTTTTATAGAATAAGGGTGGCAAACGAGCACACAGTCCTTCTGGTGGTAACTGGATGCTGTGGCCCATAGACATCTACATTTATATTCAATTAACAATCATAATGAAGATGCGTTGCCAGCCCTAAGGACTGAGATGGAATGCCTCGTTTCCGGTAAAAAAGGGTCTCCGGATCTCTACACTCATCATACAAACACAGCAGCATTAAGTTGCTATGTTACACTGGTATTCTGTGAGAGCGTGGTCCATCCCCGGTCGAGCCGACCCATTCGTGCTACAACCATAATATAACTGCACCATGGCTCTATCACGTTTATCACCTTGTATCACCATTTGGGTGTGGCAGAAGAAGCATAAAAATAAAATAAAAGCTGTACAAATACGGTTTTTAAGGGTGTAAGTATGTTGGGGCTGAATCTGAACGATTATGTGACAAGAGAAAAGTATGGTTTGCAAGATGATATTATGATTATTATGAAAGGAATGCTTCGGTGATTTGGTCATGTGCATAGAAAAGATAAACGAGGAAACCAGGACTAGGTGTAAAGGATATAGAGCACCAGTATGATTACTGGCTACGAGGCGTTCCATCTCTCTCCTCAGATGTAACAACGTAACGTTACGTAACGTAACGTAACACCTTTTGCCTTCTCTATTTGAAGTTGACTACAGATGTCTATGGAACGCAGTAGCCACTTATCACCAGGTGGACTGCTATTTCGTTTGTTTCGTTTTCTAATAAAGATATGTGAACTTCGCTAACACGCATTGGGGCAGCGCGGTGGAAACTTCCTTGCTTTAAATATGTCTAGGAATGGGACCAGCGTTGCCAGATGTGATGGATAAAGCCGGACACAGTCAGGCTTTTTGGTTGCGTGTCCAGCCAAATTATACGGTGTCCGGCTTTTATTAGGCTTTTTAAATTTGACCATTTCTATACATTTTTATGTACTTTCATACATAATATTGCTATTATTATATATAGTAATAATATGATAATAATATTATTGAGATAAATATAGTAATAAATATTGAATGATTAATAACAAGACAGACTGATTTATTCAATTGTTGTTTTTTCGTTAGAACTTAAGAAGATTTTACGGTAAATGATAGAAAGCACTGTTTAACTTAAAAATGTCTTTAACTAAGACAAAAAAATAAGGGTGTCCGGCCTTTTTACCAAAATGTACGGCTAAGCTCGCTGGTCTGTCCGGCTTTTCGGTTTTAAGACCTGGCAACGTGGCAACCCTAATTGGAACGTATATAATATCCTCCAGACCGAACTACGGTCATGGCGGCCAGCCTCAAAAGCTAGCTATCGGCCCAAGATAGGATTATAGTGTCTCTACTCTATTCTAAGTTTAAATATTTCACTAAACAAAAACTGTATAAAAAGGGTTATTATAATATAAATTAATACATGGTAATAAATAACCTCTGGGATTGAGGTGGTTGCTTCTAAGCTGTTTCTAAAATAAATTTTGTAAATATTAAATAACCAATCGCATTGTAAAATTTATTTAAAAAAGGCCCGCGGGGTTTCCCGCTGGTTCTTTCCAGACAGAGGTTTTTTCCGAGCCAGTGGTAAGGTAAAAATAACTTTCAATAAGAATTATATGTAATCTATATTGAATAAAAAATTATTTTATTCTATTCTGTTATATTCTATTACCCAAGTGTACGCTCAAGCACAGATGCACTCTCTATTCCCTCACTCTCGTAATCCAATAGGCCGTTCCAAACCTAAACGACCGGAGAGAGATCAGGCGCAGGACCAACGGCTTTACGTGCTTTCCGAGGCACGGGGGTGAGACACCGCCGACTTCCTGACTCTGGGCAGCTAATGAGAATTTCTTGACGGAAAAACTCAATAATCAATTTTTTTCGCCCGACCCGGGATTCGAACCCGGGACCTCATGATCAGTAGCCACACTACTACAACCATAAGACCAACGAGGCAGTCATATATATAGGCTGTAACTAAAAAAGCAGCTAACTTTAATGTTACTCTGGCTTTAAAATAAAATTATCCAATTTTCCTTTCTTATTGAAAAACCGCGTCAACTGTCAGTTGTGAATAATCTTACCGGTAGAAATAAGTTTATTTATAAGCCGCGCGCTATCAAGCTGTCCGTCACTCACATGTTAATAAAAGCTTAGAGTATAGAAACGCGGGATGCGTTCGGCGAAAGTGGGAGGAATTAGGTATAATGCTAGTGTGTTTTGTGCCTAAGGGTCTGTCTAGGTGCCTACCACCCTTTTAACGTATTTTTTCCCGCCGCGTGGACCTATTCCTGTGAGCCGGTTTGAATAGCGCGAGTTTATACAATTATGCTGTATGCCACTCTGTATTAAGGTGATGGGACTATATTGCGTCAAGAGCGGAAGAAGAATATTGTTTGGTACGTGTTACATTCATTATTTCAGGTCACAAAGTGTACAGTCTGTACACTTTGTTATTGATTATTAGTTGCACTGTTGTAACAAAGGCCTCCCCCATAAAGGTGGGTCTACGCTAGAGGAGCTGAGCACGAGCTGTACACAATTTGAGCCGCTTTACTCGCAGTGTTAAGTGCGGACGTACAACGAGCCTACGACATGCAAATCGATGCATGCGAGGCAAATTTTTGTGTTCGTCAAAAAAACCGACAATAGGCACAGCACAGTCGAACACGAACCAAACGCTCGAAGCGCGCTCGTTCGAGGCTTGTAAGTCGGTCCACAGTACACGAATCTGTGCTCGGCTCATATGCTCCGCTCGTGCTCGGCTTGTCTAGCGTGGACCCACCATAAGGGGAAATATAATGTCAAATGGCTTAGCAAGATCCTTCGTTATGCCAAAAATATTGCAGCATTAATTTTGAAATAAATATATGGTAAAGTTGAGGATTAATGTTAATGATTATGTTAGACGAAAACACGATTTCGTAAAATTTTCTCGATAGAAAAAAAATCCAAAGTTACCTCCAAAATAAACAATAAACCGCTGTTATTCATAAAATACTTTAAATAAGATTATGAAACTTTGCATACTAACTGAACTAACTATAAAGCAGTGCTTATGTTATTTACTTTTTTTAAAATACCATTATTTTCACTGTAAAAAGAAATTACCTAAACTATCGGCGTCTTGAGCTTGATTCCTGTCGCCCGTTAGTATCGCTTAGGCTTTTGAAGGGAGAAGTTGTGTCGCTTACGATCAGAATATACATTACGCAACAGTACGACGTAAAATTAAAATGGGAAATAAAAGTGATAAAAATAAGAAGCGGCTGGCTTGGCGTTAAGAAACAGGCATAAATATGATAAACCTAATGAAATAAGTGTCTAACGACCTTTCTACTTACAGTATTAGTGATTACAAACATGTCGGTACATAGCATACGACGCGCGGGGAAGTGGGGGCGAAATTAGAATTTGAGCTGACTTACTCTATCCTCTTAAGAGGGATACTTGCCATAAATGCCTCGCTTAGTAGGCGAGTTGGCAAACGCAGTTTTTTGTTTTTAGTTGTTTTTAGGCAGACGCTGCTGACCATCTGATAGATCGTTTTTCTCTGTTTCCTCTTAATACACGGGAGCACATGGGGCAATGAATATTCCTACACCATAAAACTTACGTTATACGAAGTTAACTATGTTGCGAGCCAAGGTAAGTAAGTGTTCGATGTAACTTCGACCCCCATCGACTCCAATGAAGTTGTAATTACAAAAGTGCTTTAAAAGTTCCTAGACAAACATTTCACATTCAGGATTCACGTCAGGTAGACTGTGTGCTCATTTATCACCCTTATTCTATAAAAGAAAACATTGCAAATAAAAAATTAGAATCCTAACTGCTCTTAAAACTATTTTATATGTAATACTTTAAAAGTCCAAAAATAAAAGCCAATATTCACATTATACTAATATACCACTCTTCTTAGGTTAATTTCAAATTTGCTGTATAATTTCAGTCTTTACCTTAACATTTTGTTATACATATTTATTTAATGTTTTATACTCTTTTCGGACGGCTTACAATTGCATAATCTGTTCCGTTACAATTATTGTGGTTGATTTCCTCCAAGCTAACCTGATTTTGTAATGCTTGAGCTTGGGCTGCAGTTGGTACTTGAGGCCCAGGTGTGTTTGGTTTTCGTATCATACCATATCCTAAATGAGAATCATCTGCCAATCTTGCTGTCTGCATAACATTTTCAACTTCATCATAATCATTCCAAGTGTCTTTATTTTTCACCTCACTAAGAGCCAATGTAGTAGGTCGTGCCTCAACTTTTTTATATCTAGAGTATTTATTTAATTTGCTTGTAGAACCGAAATATTGCAACCTGTCATAGTTTTCATCCTCGGGACTGAGAGGTAAAAGAATAATTCTTGAAGATTCTGGACCTGTGCTATTTAAATTATCTTGTGATCTTGATATAAGTTTCATACAATTGGGACTATCAGCCAAATTTGGAGTGAATATATTGATGGACCGCCAAACATTGAAATGACCCTTGTTTGATAATTGTTTTGAAATTCTCAATACAATGTCGCAAACTGTGATGGTGAAACTTAACCGGTGAATAATCATATCACGAAAACAATTCCAATAGAAATAAAGAAACATTTTTCACATATAACATGTACTGCATAAAATAAAAATAAACTAAAAATCCAAGGGCTTATGCAGTCGTCCTTAGTTCTGTTGTTAAGGAGCCGTTCTCTTGCAATTATGCGATCATGCAAATATGTCATTAGTTTCTGTCGCATCCGGTGCTAATGCAATTATATCGCGACAAACCGCTTGCAATAAATAATAAATAATTCATAATAATTGCGATTTCATAATATACTTTTCAATAAATACCTAATATAACGTATAGTGGCGTTGTGAGAATATCTACATATGATCCCGTGGGTATCGACGGAGGAAAAGTGAAACAGGAGATGGGCAGCAGAATAGGTGAGGAGCAGTTATCCGAATGATTACTAAAATTAGAAATAAACTGCGGTAGCCAAACCGCTTGCCAAACGTGAAAATATCCGATGAGCAGCCTATGCTAACTTGACTTAGATAGACTGTAACGGTAAGTGTAAATTAAATGTGCGTATTCTTATATAAAATTACACTGTAGTACCAGTTACTCGACTACACAGAGACAGTAATTCATTCTTAGGGCAATGTATGCGCTTTTAAAACAAAATCCCAGAAAATATACAAAATCCGATTTCCGCAAAGTATAAAAAATAATCATCAGATTTGATAGACCACAAATCCTCGCGAAAGAACACCGATTCCTACCAAGGATGATACGTGAGGCTATTGAAATTAAAAAACATCCTAATTTCAATAGAGAAGGAGGCTGGGTACTACCATCTGCTTGGGATCCTATGATCAATAAAATTAAAACTAAACCCAAGCATACCACTGCAAGACCTCAGGACATAGTCAGTTCATTTTGCATAGATCGGACCAATAATTAAAAAAAGCTGAAGGTACTCCGGGTTTAACAATGACATCGGGACGTCAGTCATCTCAGACCCCCGTGACCATGTTCACTATTATTGGAGCTTCAAGTACCCGAAACGTCGGGAATTAAAAATAATTGTAAAATAAACGCGATAAAATCCGTAAAAATAGTTTTAATCAAGGTTATTATAATATTTAGGAATTTATAGATGATAATAGCTCCTGGGAATGAGGTGATCGCTAGCATGCTATTTCTATTTTTGTTTTTTTTTTGTTTTTAATTATAGCGTAAGTTTAGTGATTGTAAACTGTTCCTTTTCAAAAAAAAAAAAATTCCCGCTGGGTTTCAAGTCGGTTCTACCCAGGACAGATATATTTTCTAAACCAGTTGTAAATTAGGCATGAAAGTGATCTTCAATAAGTATTATGTATATTTCATATTAAAATGAAAAGTTTCTATTTCTATTTCTACTCCCGGACTCCTGGGCCTCTACATGGTTATGGGGTTTGCCTTATCGTCCCGCTTGGCAGACAGATTGAAAATGACATTTTATACGTGGTAGAGCCACGCTGCAGCTATGTTATGGTTGTAGCACGAATGGGTCGGCTTGACCGGGGAAGGACCACGCTCTCACAGAATACCAACGTAAAAGAGCAGCTTAATGCTGCCGTGTTTTGTATTGTTAGTGTAGAGATCCGGAGATTTTTACTGGAAACGAGGCAATCTATCGTAGTCCTCAGGGGTGACATCTGCATTTTGATTCTTGTACCATATAATATGATTCATTGTCTTACTAATGTGTCTGAAAATCGTACAGTGAGAGTATTAAGAAGAGTATTTCTAACTACAGAAATCTCTTTTTTTCTGTGCAATCAGCTTTGCAAGTCTAGAAATAGCAATATCACTGCGATCTATAAGATCTCTTGTGATCGCTGCTAAGACTATAGTTCACTGATAAACCCTATGTCGACAATGAATTGTAGGAGTTGCTTTACTGTGAGCAATTTCACTTCTTCTGGGTTTAGTACATAGTTTTCCAGATGCGTTGGATGATTCGTTTGCGCATTAAGGATCCACAATCACTTAGGATGTGCACAGGTGTTTCTTCCATTAAGAAAATAAATGTTGATGTCCCCTTATCCTATAAAAAAGATTTGAAAATGCTTGCTTGCTGCTTATATCATTATAGAAGAAAGGTCATTATAAAACACCGATTTTAGGGACAGCTGTTCGTTTGTCACCCACATTATATACAAAAAAATCTTTAAGGCTGTTGTTTTCCGCCGGTATAGGTATTCAACGCAGATGGTAAGTAATCGTATTTTGCAAGTCTTTTTTTCTGGCATTATCCATAATCGTCTCTTACGACACCCACGGGATGAAACGGTTAAAAGATTCTCCTACGCTCGTACCCATTTTAATGATTCTTCTTTTATTAAATAAGAAGGTTCAGTATTGGGATGGTTCAATATAAATTTGAAGAAATAATTTCATTCCTAAAGATGGAAAAATAGTGGATGTAGCTTATAATGTAGGTAACTATTTAGACATTGTAGTCGATATCTTGAGCTTGTACTATCCCTTAGCCCACTAGCAAAACTGCTTATAATTTATTTTCCAGTGAAAAATAATAAGCCGACTTTAAGAACTTTAGTGAATAAATAATTTTTTTAATTTTTTGGGCTTTAATTGTATATACACAATGTCTTCGCACAGAATTCAGATCCTATTATGTGGGAAGTATATATATTTTTTACTTGGCGTTGCTGCCGCAGAAGAAACAATTGTGGAAATATCTTCTTAAATGTGGTGAGGTAGATTCATTAGCAATGCTAATACATTATGAAATTAAACGATATGTAAAGTTTCAAATAAATTTATGTGAACGATACGCTCGCCACGTATTGTAAGTTAATTGTACTAAGCCTATAATCTTCGCGCAAGTGCAAGCAATAAGTTGACAAAATTTTACCGCAATCTGATGAACGGTATGTCAGCGTATAAAATACGAACAAGCAAACATTAATTTTTATATATTGGATTATACGCATTTACGTTATAACAATTATTGTAGTCAATAGGTAAGTTAAACATGTAACGCCACCACGCCTTCCCCTTAATAGGGCACAACTATCTTGTTTTTATTTTTTAAGTTTTATTAGCATGGTCTATCTCCAGTAATGTCAGGGCCGAGGTGTTTGACCGCCTAGCCGATGAACCCGCAGTACCGTAATGGCAAACCAGTCAGCGCAGCTTACGGATCGAAACGAGCTTACAACTGGTTGTATGTTAATTATTTTTAGGTATCTAACCTTCTTTATATTTCGTATTAGATATAACAAATCCGTCGAAGATAAATTGCTCAATGTCAGCTTTATTCGTATTTAATCCGAATCCTTATTACATAATCTCGCATAATTAGTGCGTACCTGAAATCATTTCTTTTTAATATTTGTTTAGGGTTGTCACACAATTGATAAACTATTGTAATATTGTTTGGTATTTATTTCAATAAAAAACTAAAAATTAAAATTATCATACAGCCCTACTTCTTGTGGTAATAGCAATACTTAGCTTATGGGCGAGAAAAAAACTAGTTCTCTTGTCTCCCGAAGCGACGATCAACCGTTGATATAGTCCTAAGAAACTTCACCGTGCTTAAATCTCACGTACCAAAATTATCTATATCAAATGTTGGTCAATATTATAGGTACCTATAGTAATCTCTCAGAGACGTATCATGAATAGTAGCATGAATGCGTCAGTTCAACTGGGGAAGGACCACGCTCTCACAGAATACCAGCGTAAAATAGCAGCATAGTTCTGCTGTGTTTTGTATGGTGAGTGTAGAGAACCGGAGATCCGTTTTACTGAAATTGAGGCATTCCATCTTAGTCCTCAAGGGTGACAACGCATCTGCATTGTGATTCTTAATCGAGGTTGAATGTAGATATCATGGGCCACAGCATCCACTTACCATCAGGTGGACTGTGTGCTCGTTTGTCACACTTATCCTATAAAAAAATATAGCTGCTTATATGGAAGGTCATTATAAAACACTGATTTTAGGGAAAGCTTTTGTTCGTCCTTCTCTTATTAGATTTATTTGCTTAGGTCCGATTTCAGTAGTATATGTACAATTACTTACACTATAAATAGACAGTTACTATGAGAATCATACTTTTTTGTTCCGTAACATTTATTAATTCAAGCATTCACTACATGCAGCCTATCAAAAGTTCAATGTTGTACACAAGCTTTACTAAAGATTACCTCTTTTCAGGGGTACTTTGCATAGTTGCCACGCTAGGCAGACGGGTTGTCAACCTCAGTTTTTTTTACGACGTTTAAATTTAGAACTCGTTATGCATAATATAAGTCGTTTATTAATATCCAGGTCCTCACATTCCGCCAACTTTCGGTATCATCGTTTGGATGTTTGACCTTGTGAAATTTATGTACCCATGTAAAGTTTTCCCACGCTACGGGAGTGCTAAAATCATAGTGTGGATGTAACGTTTTCTTTTTTTTAAAAAGCGAAGTAAATGAAAAACGAATCATAAAACCGGTCATTCGACAAAAGAGCAGAATGCCCACCTGAATATACATATTAAGTGATAAATGTTAGTAGAATTGATGTCATCTTTGGGCGAGCAGTGCCATTGCTAGAGATATCATCACCGCTCCTTTGTCCATTCCGTTGTTGTCGTGATGGTCTAGTAATTATACTACTCTTGATAAAATAAAACAGAAACCTTAGCCGTTTTTTATAGAATAAGGGTAACAGATGATCACAAGTCCGTGTTATCTAGGGATGCTGTAGCCCACAGACGTCTGAAATCCTGGATTGAAATTTAAAATGTAAATCTGAGAGTAAAATAGGATGCTTCGTTACCAGTAAAAAGGATCTCCGGCTCTCTACACTCACCATAAGGAATTCAGCAGTAATAAGCTGCTATTTAACGCTGGTATTCTGTGAGAGCGTGATCCTTCCCCGGTCGAGCCAACCTGTTCGTGCTACAACCGTGATTTATTACTTATTTCAACACTTACAACTATCTTTACCGGATATCCTAATACCACAGTGTAACTATTCTATATGCTATTATTATTATACGAAATTATGTTTTTAAATTAGGTACATAACAAAATAAATAATGTTTAATGCTAGATTTGTGAACTCACTTACGCTATATATAGGACATATAGCGTGAGTGAGTTCACAAAGAGATACTCAGGATATATATAGCTGCAGCGTGGATATACCACGTTAAAGTTTTCTCACTGGATCACGTCTTCTTATTCATCAGCCCATAAAAGTCAAAAGGACATGGGACTTTCACATGGTATGGAGCTTACCTTCGTCAGGTTTGACACCCACTGTATCACTATACTGCATTAAATGGGGAAAATTGGTGTGGACAAAAAAAAAACTAATCATATAATTTATTATTATTAAAACGTAACATTATAATATTCTAAATATAAACTTTAGTGAAAAAAAAAAAACGATTAATTATTCTTTGTTATGTCAACTGGTTTCTACAACCTATGGACATTTGCACACTATTAGAAAATAAGTAAGCCCCAGTCGGTTGTTAGTTGTCACCTATAAGAACTAAGTTTAATTTTTGAATGTGACAAATGACGTGGACTGTGTGCTCACCTGATGGTAAGTGGATGCTGTTACCCATAGACATCTTCATTTATCCTCAATTACGAATCTAAATGCAGATGCGCTGTCGCCCCTGAGGACTGAGACGGATCTCTCATTTCCAGTAAAAAGGGTCTCTGGTTCTCTACACTCACCATATGAAAAACAGCAGCATTAAGCTGCTATTTTACGTTGGTGGTTATTTCTGTGAGAACGTGTGCCTCCCCGGTGGAGCCGACCCATTTTCGAGCTACAAACATAATACAGCTGTAGAGTGGCTCTACCACGTAAAAAACAAACTCCTCACAGCTTACAATTATTGCTATCTCTGTTACCTTCCTTAATCCAATTTGAATTAATGCATAGTTGATAGGCGTCAGAAATTAGGTGATATCAACCCAGTCGGACTCCAAGGCAAAAAGGAAGTGATACCATGTAAACACACGTATCTTGTAAACGTATACTTTAAACTGCGTGTTTGGTTTGGTGGCCCAAATCTTTTGCTAATTGCGTCTTTGAGACACCTTTTTTCTTTACTACTACAGCCTACAAATGCCATTGTTGGAGACACAGTTGTGGGAAGGATTGGTCGTAATCGACACGCTTGGCCGACTGAGTATTTTATTTTTACCGTTAACACTTTCATACATTAACACGTAAGTTAAGGTAAAATCAGTTCAAAAGATCATGATCTGTCCAATTCTATGATCAGACTATGATATACATCACAATAACAAGTCTCAATACAGTTCCAATGAACCAGTAATGATTTCTAAAAATGTTTGAAACTACGCTTACGTTATAATTTGTATCTACCTTTACTACCTAAAACTCAAAAAACAAACAAAACAAAAACACTCAAAAAATTTTTACTATTGTAAAAACTTTTTCGAGTTTTAGGAGTGTTTTACACCATCCTTATAGTATATATATATATATATATATATATATATATATATATATATATATATATATATATATATATATTATGTTTGCTGTAAACTTTTTAATTAATACAAAGGTGAAATCTTCTGGTGTTTGTCCAGCAGACTTAATCAGAATTATAGAGACAATAATAAACATACTTATGGTAATTAAATTAAAAACCTACATTCTATGCCACTCTAAATTACACACTTCACCTCTATTTATGTCCTACACAATCTGTAAAATCTTAGATGTTTTTATAGTATAATGGCTGATCATTACAATGTGGATATTGTATCTTGTATCTACTTTTAAATTCCCAATCGACACGTTAAAAAGAACCTAATATACATCCAATACACGAAACGACTGTTAATAATTAATACAATCAGGCGTTTTATATTTTATATCAAATGAACTAGTTCACATCCGCGTAATAAAATAAAATAATGAGGCTTACTGAGTTTGGAGAGCACCTCCCCTCCCTTAATTGAGTACGTAATTGTTTACGCAATTGAAGGAAGGCGTGAGATGTTCTTCAAACTAGGTAAGCAATTAAGTGCGCTATTGAAGGAGGGCGGGAGGTGCTCTTCAAACGATGTTTTTTTATAGTGGGAGGGGGAAAACGAGCATACGGCTCACCTGATGGTAAGTGATTACCGCCGCCTATGAACTATGCAACACCAGGGGAATTGCAAATGCGTTGCCGACCTTTTAAAAAGGAGTAGGCTCTTTTCTTGAAGGTCCCTGAGTCGTATCGGTCCAGAAAAATCTCTGGTGGTAGTCGATTCCACAAGGAAGTTGTGCGAGGAAGAAAACTTCTTTTAAATCGCACTGTGGTGGACCACCAATCATCCAGATGGTATGGATGGTATCGCGAGTTTTTTCGCGATGTGCGATGATGAAATTATGCAGTTGGAATTAGTCTGAACAATTCCTCAGAGCACTCACCGTGGTAGATGCGATAAAATACGCTGAGAGATGCAACATCTCTTCACAGTGCCAGTGAGTCAAGCCGACCGGAAAGAGTTCGGTGGCCGACGATTCGAACAGCTCTGCGCTGGATGCGGTCAAATGGAAGGACCTGGCATTGGGGAGCCCCAGCCCAAAGATGGGAACAGAATCCTCATCATTTTATTTTATTACGCGGACTTAACTTTAACATCTTTAACAACTGATATTGTATTCTTTAAGTCCAACTAACACACATTAAAAATTCAGATATTTTGTAGCCTAATATAGGGTTCAAGTTTCATCGCCCGCATGATGTCGCCGGTGACGGAGCATCGGCCGGCCTGCATTATGACCCTTGGGTCTTCTCTGCCGCTCACGAGCTGCTTGAAGTAGTGCTCGTTAAGCGTGAACGTGGTGTCCGGATCATCCTCAGGTTCACCTTCGTATACGCTGACCTTATTCAGATCCAGGGCTGGAAAGGAAGAGAGAAATTTGTTGAATAAGAAATAGCAACATCATATATTGACCACGAAAGAAAATACACAATGGAAAACGCCTTCTTAAAAATATGAGTGGCTGCCGAGAGATAGCTTTATAATGAATAGAAGGAGTGTCAAAAGTGCGAGTCATCTAGTAGGTGTCTAGGTTTTTTTTTTTTTATAGAATAAAGGTAACAAACGAGCACACAGTCAACCTGATGGTAAGTGGATGTTGTGGCCTCTAAACATCTACATGTTTACGAAAGAATCTTCACAAATGTTTATGTTTGCTGTAAAATTTTAAACTTTTCATTTAAGTTCGCATATTGTCTATGGGACATCTTTTTTTAAACAATTTCTTCTTAAAAACCTGAGACTACTTGTAACGGTTTATATTATGTCTTCTAATCCCCATTCCTTCGCATTTCAGTGGCCAGCAAATAACTTGAATATACGAGCAAAAACGATAGGTATCATTTGTGAACGTATTAAGGCGCGGTGCGCTTATTCATATAAATCAGCGGAAGGGGAGTGGGACAGATCTGCGTAGTAAACGTCATAAGCACTCAAGTTGTTTGCCACATTGTTTGATAGATAGACCACTGCTCCTTATAGGCTTTTCTCACAATTTTTATCACCATTAGCAAGCAAATTACAAGTTTAGCCTAGTATACCGCAGTCTGCTGTAAGATTTATCTGGCATAAAATCTCGGAGCCATGTCTTACGTTACTCACGATACGAAATAGGGAAATGATTTAGTTTACGTAGCCACATCACGTATATATGTCAAGTGTTATGAAATCAAAAAAGATGTCAAGGAGTAGCACCAGAGGTGCAAAAGGTTTGGTTCTGCAAGCAAGGTCTTGCTATGCGAAGTTCCTCGGAGTTTTTGTACGTGGTAGAGCCATGCAGCAGATATATTACACTTGTAGCACGTAAGGGTCGGATCGATCACTCTCTCACAAAATACCAGCGTCAAATAGCAGTCTCACGCTGCTGTGTTTCATATGGTGAGTGTAGAGGACTGTAGACCCCTTTTTACTGGAAACGAGGCATTCCATCTCAGTCTGCAGGGGTGACAACGCATCTAAATTTTGATTCGTAAGATAGATGTAGATGACTATGGATTACCATCAGGTGGTATGCTCATTCGTCGTTCTTATTCTATAGTTCCAAGTCCAACTGAAAAGTTTATGGATTTGATAAACAACAAACAGAAACAGCGTGACTTACTCCAGCTGTATACAGAAGTCCCTTTAATAACATTGAACAAGAATACGCCTCCAACTTCTTTAGCCTTTTTGGGGTCAACCGTGGTCAGCCGCGTCTTGATTCTATTCACGAGCTCCTTCTTACTTAGATTTGCATGGTCGCTTTGAGCCGCACCCTGGAAAATATTAAATTAAAGGGTATTTATACAGATTCCTCATGTGGTTGAGATGTATAAATATATTAATGAAAATAATAAATAAAGTATAAATGTAGTAAAATAAATAAAAAATACATAAATTTTCTTTCAATGATAGTACTATTCAATAATACTAATCAATAATAGTGTTATTATTGATCGAAGATATAAATAAATAAAAACCCAACCAGACGGAAGTCCTCGCAGAGGCAAGCATTGTGAATTGCCATACGTGCCTTTTTCGACACATTTTGACTCTTCACAATAGAGTGTAGGGCCCCATTTATTCTATTTCCTGCATTCACTCGTCGTTCTATATTCTTATCACATCTACCCATCCTTGCTAAATACGCAACGCAGATATACAAACTCATCTACTTGCTCGATCAACTCCCCATCTATTCTTATTTCACATATCGTCTTACTTTCTTCTCTTTCAAAAACCATAACCTTCGTCTTACTTGCGTTCACTTTCATACTCCTTTCTTTTAATCTGTTCATTAATGTAACCATCATTTGCAGCTCGGCCGCCGACGATGCAAGAATAACTTGATCATCGGCGTACAAAAGGCATTTGACGGTTAACTCACCCATTCTTAATCCGCATTCTTCAACTTTCAAATTTTGCAAACAACTGTCCATAAATAGGTTGAACAGCCATGGGGAAGCCAGACAGCCCTGTCTGACACCTTTATGGATGCCAAACCAGTCCGAGTAGACCCCTTTGATCCTAACACAAGCATTAAAGTCCCTATAAAGCGACTCCAATGCCTGTATCAAGCCAGCGTTCAACCCAAATGAATTCAGTGTTTGCTATAGCACATCCCTAACCACTCTGTCATAGGCCTTTTCCAAGTCCATGAACGCACAAAAAAGCTTTTGGTTTTTGGCCAAAAACTTTTCCGCGATCATGCGGATGGAAAAGACTTGATCTGTACATCCCATTTCCTTTCTAAATCCCGCTTGCACATCACAAATTTTTCATCAGTTTCTTTCATGACCCTTTCAATCACTACCTTAGCATACAGTTTTCCCACAATGCTAAGAAGGCTGATACCACGGTAGTTTTTACAGTCCTGCTGCGACCCTTTTCCTTTATATACTGGGACTATCACGGCTTTGCACCAGTCTACCAGTACCCGCTTCAGTTCCCAGCATAAATTAAACAAGGTGTGCAGCAGGCCTGCCACCACTTCCTCTCCAGCCCTTAGCATTTCGAGTGAAACTCTATCATATCCGGCAGCCTTACCTGCTTTCATACTTTTCATTGCTTTCATTATTTCATCTATACTTATCTCGCTATCTCTTTCCTCTTTTCTCGGAGTTTCTACTTCATTTATTTTATACGTTGTCTCCTCACTCATAAAAACGCTTTCAAAATATTCCTTCCATCTCTTTAAACTCAAAACTTCATCATTCAGAATATAACAAGTGTTACCATACGTATTAAGGTAATTATGAGGCCTATGTTTTATATTTATAATAAAACACATTTTCACTATTAAAAACAAACGGCAAACACACATATAGAGATAAAAAATTCATACACCTATTTTAGACACTAACTAGGTACAATGCAGTGCCAATATATGTATCTGTTCAGGGGACAAAATTGGTATTAAGGCCGCTTATAAATGACATTTCGCTGTCAGATATTATTTATTTTGTGCTGGCGGGTGAGTGCTTCCTTTGATTTCATTGTGAAAATTACAAATAAATATACTATGTAGTTCTATTTCCTCGGTTTTGTTGTGGCAATACTAAGCTTTTCAATAGCGACTCTCAACTGAACAACTGAACTAAACAGTAAAGTTGGTGGCATTATACCTATAATCTGCTACTATTAATTGGATTAAAAATGGCAGTATTAATTAATTTAAAAGTAATAGTAATCGTGCATTGTCTCAGGAACCAAACGTGTGCCAAATTTTAGCGCGATAGCTTAAGTGGAATAGAATTTAAAAAAAAATTGCAAAATTCCAGGACATTACAAGTGAAGTTAAATAAAAACTTTTAATAATAATAAAAAAATGATTAAACGGTGTCTCCTTCAGCTTTATGTAATTCAGCTTACACAAGATGTTAATAAGCTAAAATGTCACGGAGTATTGTTTAAATAGACAACCAACATTTGCTCGAACGTTGGCGTACCTCTTAAAATAAATTATATTTCGTGAAAAAGTAACATGCAGCTTTAAATTTTTCTAGCAAATATTGCGTATTTTAACTTTTGTATAATTTTTTTGGAAATTGAAAAATATGTGGAAGTTTTTTTTTGAAAAATTATGTGGACCTGTGTCCCATAGACATTTAAGTAAGTACATTTATTTTCAAATGGTAATCAAAATGCAAATGCGATAACGGGTATCATAACAAATATTCGGTACTTACTATAGGATACGATTGCCAAACCTCAAACGACTACCTAAATCTTTAAATCAGTGTACAGCCAATGTGTATACTGATTTTATAAGGCCTACGGAAGCGAGACGTGCTCTTTCACTATCGCCTTATGTGGAAACTCAGTCACTCAACAAAGGCTACGCTCAGATTATCTCCGCGTGATGGAATTCATAACTAAAATAACTGCAGTAGAACCAGAGTAATGGACATAACCGATCGGATCAGAGAGCTAAACTGAAATCAGATAAGTAAGGAAAATATATTCTCAAGTAAAATGACTAATAAAATTCCTTAGCATTTTTTAAAATAATAAAAATTTCTCGATAAATAGTTACAGTCTATTTCTAAAGGACAATAACAAGATGTCTTATTACATTTTTTATACGCATTTGACTTTTTTTAATTATAAAACTAGTTAACCATCGTTTGGAGTATTGGTAGAAGTATGAAACACTGCCGGTCGAGATGTAATCTCTTGTTATGTATATTATATAATACTCGTAGTTTATACAATTTGAATGATTGTACAAATAATATTGATTTCACCTGAGCCTAAAATTCAAACCACGTAGTTTTGATTATACTTATATGAGAATACAAGTATTTATTTAAACAAAACGTAAAACTGCATGAACCAAATTCGATATTAAAATTCAAAAATAGATATCTATGGTTGGAACTATAAAACTGTAAAAGCTTAGATAACTTTCTTTTTCATTCAATAAAGCTTATTCTAAAGCTCGAATCTAAATTGGGTATGCATTTCAAATGCTGGTATCTAAATGCTATAAAACTTTATTTGTTTCTTTTATCATTTTATATTTATTAAGGTTTTTGCTCCATCTACAGATATCTAGTGCCACTAAAAATATTAAATAAAAAAAATTGAAGTACTCACCATTATGCCGTGTGTCCAGTGTCGTTGTTGGTGCAATGTGATGTTTCGGAAGACACAGCATCCGTAGAGCTTTCACTTTTGCAAACCATTCGCTTGCGTGCGTGTGGTGACCACAATTATGCCGGGACATATTTGTGGCTTTTGTTATAAATTATATTTATTGAAGTGAAAACTTACTCGAAAAAACTCTCTGTCTCTCGGAATTAGCCTGCGGGTAAATGAGATAGAATACAGTATTTCCTACTATCTTGGTCTCCTTTTCTGAAGGTTTGACTTCCACCGCGTGTGAACTGCACACATTTTATTTTTGGTTTAATAATGTTTGTTGTCGACTAAATCACTGCATTGCACTGTTCATCATAATTTTTATACGTGTTAGAGCCACGCTGCTGCTATATTATGGTTGAAGCATGAATGGGTCGCCTCGACCGGGGAAGGACCACGCTCTCACAGAATACCAGCGTAAAATAGCAGCTTAATACTGCTGTGTTTCGTATGGTGAGTGTAGAGATGCGGAGACCTTTTTTACTGGAAACGAGGCACTCCACCTTAGTCCTCAGGGGTGACAACGCATCTGCGTTTTGATCTTTAATCGAGGTTAATACATATGTCTACGGGCCACAGCATCCAGTTACCATCAGATGGATTGTGTGCTCGTTTGTCACCCTTATTCTGTATAAAAAACATCAGCCTATCATGGTTTGACTTTTGAATCGTGTGATTTTGCCATAGTTGCCAAGCTTGGCAAGTGGGTTAGTAGCCGAAGGTTTTTTATTAGGTATTTTCAGTCTTCATAGGAAGATGCTTATGTCCATTACTCTTAAGACAATCACGGGATGATATGAGGCAGTTAATTCTATTACGCCGCCACTGGCAGATATTATTTATTAAATATTTTTAGAATAAGTGCGATCGTCTGGCGACGGCGTAAGAGAATCCATCTCCCTGCTTAGTTCCGCTTGTGTCGTAAAAAGCACGCAGAGGACATGTCAGTAAGTTTTATATAGCATCCGAAAGATGGCGTTATAACCATTTGTAAACTTATACACTTGGCATAAAATACCTTAACCGTTGACTGACTTCAATGCAAGAAGACCATGTCCAGCAGTTGGAATTTTACGTTCCGATGAAGGAAAAGAAGAAGAAGATTAATGATTTATAATATTTGCACGTACACTACAATTGAATAAACAAATTTTGCGGATTTTATTGCGCTTAATTTAATTTATTTTTATTTCAACATTCTGAAAAGTTGACAGTCTGTGAAACTGGTTAAGATAATTCCAAATATGAATGATATATAATGTATATTATGATTGAGTTGGCAAGAACAGAGGAGGACCACGCTCTCACAGAATACCAGCACAAAATTGCAGCTTAATGCTGCTGTGTTTCGTATGGTGAGGTAGAAAACCGTAGACCCTTTTTACTGGATACGAAGTATCTCACCGTAGTTCTCAAGGGTAACAAACTATCTGCTAATTGATAGATGTAGCTGTCTATGAGCCACAGCATCCACTTACCATCAGGTGGACTGTGTGCACGCTTGTCACTCTTATTCTATAAAATGTGCAGGCTTAGTATATATACTACAATATTACATCAGATTTAATAAACCACAAATTCTCGCAAAAGAACAACGATTCCTACCAAGGATGATTTGCAAGTGTATTGAATTAAAAAAATCCGAATTTCAATAGAAAATGTGACTGGATGCTACCATCTGCTTAGGATTCATTAATTAATTTGTTTTTAATATTATATTATTTATAATTTATAGTGCATTGGGTTAGGATCGGTGATGGGATAAGACCATAAAATTTAAATTTCCGGTGAATTATGCTATATTTTTGAAAGCTAGCAATATGGTACAAGACTCCATTTTATTCTGCCCCGACCCCAAGTTTCAGCCAGTCGCTCCGAAAAGTAGGGCTTGTGCTGCGCAGTATTTTATAAAACAAGGTAATTTTTGTATTTTTTTCGTCCGTCCGGTCTTTTCCTATTACTTTTATTTGCGATTTTTAGCGACGTCCGGTCTTATCCCTTGACTTGACTTATATATATATATATATGTATATAATAAAATTTAATTTAAAACTAAAAATAGCACTGCAAAACTGTACGCTCGTTCTGGGTTGGTTGGAACAAAATTTAATTTCCAAAGCTTGGAGATAGCCTGGGTTAACTGTGACGTAGACATCAAACACCTCAGTCCCCTCGTGACTGTAATGCTGTAATGCATTCTAAACGTCGGGTGTAAATTTAAGTAAAAATAAGTCAAATTCGATAAAATTTGTATTCACAGTTTTCTCTTTTTTAGTAGGGGCATGTAAATTTTCTTTTTTTTCAATATGACATTACAAATTTTAAGCGGTTGTCTGCATAATTATTAATTCACGGTTACCCTAACAAAGAGCATAACATGCAAAGTGTACATAAGTATCGATGTGAAGTCATAACGTTTTCACTTTAAGCGATTAACGTTAAATACGAGTATATTGTCGCTTTGTAATTTTTTTTTAAATAAGCCCTACGTTTTAACTTACATAATGTGATTGTCATTGGATTGGTACGTAGAGTAGGAATTATACCTATGAAATTTATTTATAATTTTTTGATAAAGTATTATAAATTATGGGTGAAGGACAAGCATATAGTCCACTTGATAGTAAGTAAATGATGTGGCCCATAGACATCTATTTGTATCGTCAATTAATAATCAAAATGTAGATGCGTTATCACCCCTGAAGACTAAGATTGCCTCGTTATCAGTAAAAAGGGTATCTCGTTCTCTACACTAACCATACGAAACATAGCAGAATTAAGCTGCTATTTTACGCTGATATTCTGTGTGATCAACCACAAGATGAGAGAGCCGTGGTAGCTCAGATGTTAAGCGCTCGCTGTAACTTTCACAGTATGCGAGCAAACCGGGTTCGATACCCGCCGGCAGCAATGAAATTGTTAATTGCAATTTTAAGTACTTATATACCTCGTGCTCAGCGATGAAGGAAAACATCGTGAAATTCGTCAACACGCATTGGAGCTAGGGCTCCAAACTAGGGCAAGCCCAAGATATGGTTTTGTTGTTTTTAGCAGTTTTATAAAAATACACCAACGTGTTTAACAAAGCACAGAGAAGGCATATTACTGCTAGATAAATTGTACTAGTATGACATATCAGCAATAGGGTATTTTACCCATTTTCAAAAATTGTTAATAATTGTTAACTGCAATTTTAAGTACTGATTTACCTCGTGTTCGGCGGTGAAAGAAAACATCGTGAAATTCGCCAACACGCATCAGGGCAGCGCGGCGGACAATTCCTTGCCCTAAAACCCTCTCAGAAATGTGCGGAGGCCTGTGCCCCAGGAATGGGACGTATTTAGGCTGACTTTAACTTTTAATCACGAGATGGGCAGTAGCGTCTTCGCAATAACATCCGAAACTAAAAGACAGCGGTTGCGAGTTCGCCCACCAAGTATGGCAACCTGACAGATATCTCCACTATGAAGCAATCTACGTCATATGGCAGTGAACTTTTGACAGGCTGTAATGATGATTGATGATGATGATTCAGTGAGAGCGTAGTCCATCTCCGGTTATGCTGACCCAATCGTGCTGTAACCATAATATAGCTGAAGCGTAAACATTCTATTTTGCCAATTAAATTATATAAAACTATTTTTTATCTTATATGTAATTCGAAAATTGCCAAATTAAGAGTACCCTTAACCGACAAGCATGTATGTGTAAGAGAGGTGTGTCAGGATCTTGCTAAATGGAAGTCTGCAGTCTCTGCCTACCCCTTTGGGTGACAGGCGTGGGTGTTTATGATATGATATGATAATTTTTACGAATTTTGATTTGGTATGCATCAGGTTAATTTATTTTCAATTACCGATGCTTCAAATATATTACCCCGTTTCGTCTAGTAGGTGGGGAGAGGCAACTATTGAAAAGGCCACAAAAAGTACACTACAGATGGCGGTATAAACATCTCGTTTAGGTTACGTAACTTAATCAGATCAATAATGGGAGCAACGTCAAAGGTATGGAGTGTAAAGGTAAGGAGAACTGTCTCTGTATTAAAAAGAGTCCGTAGGAAAGCGCTAAATAAAGGTGGCCCTATTGTACCTAGAGGATAAATTTTATAAATTTTAATGTTGCTTCCTGTATGCTCGGAAAGCGACGTAATTCGACACTCCTGTTGGCTCGCGACCTAAAATGGCGGGAAATGCAAATTTTTTGCTAATTTACAAATTTTGCTATATTTTCTTTTTGAGACAATATTTATGGATAAAACTTACAGGAATTCTTGTTGAATGTATAAACTATCGAATAAAATTATTTTTAGTTACTAGAAATTGTAATAAAATTCATAAACTACCCTTTATAGCATAGTAGTAGTAGATACTTCACTTTTAGTCACAAAATTAGTACTAATTTGAAATCTACACGTTTGTTTTTGGAGAAATCTATATGAAAATATTTGGAAATATGTATATTTTTATGTTTTATATGTTTCTATTCGTTACTCATACCAAAATATAAAAAAAATTAAAAAAAAAAACGAAATTAATTTTTATCTGTACGAAATTTCGAAGAATATTTCAAATTAATTTTTGAATTTGAAATAAATACAACGTCAAGTTATTTTAAATATATTATAAAACTATTTTTTAGTTACATTTTACACTAAAAATAAATGAAAATTGGTAAAATAACACATTTTTGACACAACCGCTAAAATGGGCCTTCTCGATTTCGAAGTACTTTTGGCACTTACTTTTCACTTTTTATGCCACAAATTATATATCTATGTATTTGTTATATTACAAGGAATACATATAAGTATAAAACTCACCTTTTTATTTCAAAAACACACAGAAAAACGGAGAAATCAATCAGCAATAGCTCACGCACAACTACTGATGTAAGGACCCGTTATGTCAGAATGAGTTTTTATGTTTATTCCTTATGTGACGTTGACATATTATGGT